CGATATCTCGCTTATTCCTGGCCTGCAGGACTAAGCATCTAAGCTCTGGCTGGATCTGCCCTTGTGCTTTTGTGCTTGTGCTACCCGCCAGAGCTCATTTAGAGACTTCTTGTACTTCTTATTCATGTAGGACCTGTGTGTCATGACACCCTTCTGCATTTCTGTTAGTGACTGACATCCTTTCTGAGTTCTCTGATTTTATGACTTCCAGTCGTCATCATAGGGCAGTCTGGCTACAGTCAGCTCAGCAGATGTCATTGGTGGCTGGGCCTCATCTAGTTCAGTTACACTGCTCTATTCTTCCATGGTTGGCTCATTATGCCCATACCGCTCACTATTGCTCCCATAATAGCTGAAGACATAACATGAAACGGTGTTTTTCTGATGTGTGTTCATACAGGTACATGAAAGGACGTGTGACATATGAGCAGCTCAATGCAGCAGTGGAGAGCATCAATACTGCTGTAGCAGCCAAGTACAAGATTGTCCATCAGTCCTTGAAAACACTCAACAATCACTCACGAAAGCTGCACCAGCGCTTTAAGGACCAAGAGACCAAAGATACAAAAGGTATCCTGCAAACCAAAATTGTGTGCTACTTGTGTACGTCTCAGGAAGACAGAATGGGTGTGTAGGTTTTCAGTCATAGAGGTCATGTTAGTCCAAAGAACTTTCTTTCTTACCAAGCTCCTTAGTTTGCAACAGAAGCCTTTCTTGCTTTAAGATCATATTTTAGAATCATTGTGAAGGTTTTGCTGATCACTTTGAAAGCATCTCTGGGTTTTTCCCCCTATGTTGTCTTTTTAGTGTTTTCAGCTAAGCATAGGCTTTTAATGATCCACAGACCTTTCTTCTGCCATTTATTTTGTTTGTTTGTTTGTTTGTTTTTAAGTATTCATGAGTCATATAAAGCGATATAAAAATCATTTTTGGACTAAACAGAGCAAACAAAACTGTACTGAAAATTAAAAAACAAAGGATACTGGTGTTATACTTGCTTGTTTTTCTTTTGCTTTCAGCTTTGTGGGCGAATCATTAAATGAACCCACATCTCAGATATTTGAGATCACTTTTTTCAACTGGCTCTTTATAAGTACATTATCACATCCATATTGGTCAGTTTCTGAGAAAAGATTGTTTGTAAAACACAAAAGTTTCACAGTTGTGCTTAAATGTTTTGCAGGTCAGTATTTTGTGGTGGAGGATGACATTCGTGAATTTACCCAGATGAAGGTGGACAAACGCTTTCAGGGGATTCTGAACATGCTGCGACACTGCCAGCGCCTCCGGGAGCTCCGAGGGGGAGGACTAACCCGCTACATGCTGCTATGAAAAAGACGCTTTCAGTTAGTTTTTCCTTTTCTCTAGTACACTGCCATATTTGTAAATGGCTTACATAGGTAAATGTCATTTGTTGTGATAGGTAGACATACCAAACATTTAACACGCTTCTGGTATATATATATATGTTTGCGTACTTAAACTTCTATGTGTATGTTGTATTGTCATATAGTGTAATAATAGATACTAGTAATAATAAATGGCACATTTTCTCTTCTGTATCATTATGTTGTAATAATGTAATAATATCTTTACATGTCTGAAAGCTTGGTTATGATTAAATTGCTTTTTGTGTTTTTTGAGACTTCATTCAGAGATTTATAGCCCTTTTCCACTAGCACCTCTGCTCAACTCCATTTCAGTCGTTTTCCATTACAATTAAGTACCACCTATTGTGCATGAGGTCATTACAGCAACTTTCCTGAAACTCCTGAGATATCATTTGTAAGCAACACAAACATCACAAGAATGGAAGATGTCGTAGCAATAGTCGCTCTCAAGACGCTAGCAGAGCCAAAGACCACAAACCTGCCACAAGGTTAGACAAAGGGTAATACTGTCTGCTCTGGGACTACCCCAGGGTTACCTGGTAGTGGTTTATGGAATAAAAATTCTGTTCCAGACTGAAAACTTTATATTCCAGAGGCCGCTGGATTAAAATGGAGGCTCTCTTTGTTGGTGCCATGGTGAATCCTGGTATCAGAGCTCCAATGGTCATTCATTATCTTACTTTAATGCGTGACTGGTAGAATAACTCACATGCTTAACTCTGGAAGAACACACTCTGAGTTGATTAAAGTAAAGGTGATCAATCTCTTGATACTCAGAACAGAAGTTATGGTCAGGCTCAGCCAGAATGAGTGTTCACCCAGGGCGCCAAACAGGCTAGGACAGCCACTGACCACGAGGGGTCAGTCTGAGGAGCTCAGCGCCACAAGTCCCTGCATGTGTGCCCCTGTGGGCAGTCTGCTGAAAGTAATTTTATATATATATATGTATATATATATATATATATTGCTTTTCTGCCTAAGCCTGAACCCCCCTCAGTCCACTCCACACCAATCCACACCACGAGGATCTACAGGAACGACATCAGAATGTCATTCGGACTGGCGAAGTGTAGTTGGATGGTAACAAAGAGAGGGAAGGTAGTCAGAACTGAGGGGATTGTAATACCGGACAGTTACAAGTACCTGGAAATCCTAGGCAAATGGGAACCTTAAAGAGGCCGCTAGAAAAGCTGCAAATAGCTGCAGACAGTGAGGCAAGTGCTGTGGAATCAGCTGAATGGGAAAAACAAGATCAGGGCTATCAACACCTACGCCCTGCCCGTGATCAGGTGCCCTGCCTGGATAATAAGCTGGCCAAAGGAGAAGACAGAAGCCACTGACATCAAGACGAGGAAGCTCATCACCATGCATGAAGGATTTCACCCCAAGTTCAGCATCCTGAGACTGTATGCTAAGCGGAAGGAAGGATGCCGGGGACTGGTGAGTCCAGGATGAGGCAATGAACATCCACAAATACATCAGGAAAATGGCCACAACTGATTGTGTGCTTAGTGAATACCACAGGTGGTAGAACCCTGAGAAAGAAGAGGAGCAAGAGGGGGAGCTATCAAAGATGGCCCTGAGATAATCCACACAAAACAGCAGGGTGCAAGATACTAGCAGGCAGGTCATACATGGAATGCCGTAACCAAGTAGTGTACAGAAACATTTGTGTGAGTATGGCCTGGAAGTCCTGGCCATAGTCAATGTTTGTTTTTGTTTTTGTTTTTGTTTTTGTTTTTTGCCTGTCCTGTTTGGCTCTTTTGCCATCAGAATTGTCTAAAGGCGAAGAAAGATGCCCAACGGATTTACTTTACCAAATGGACCATCCCAGCCTTGCCGTAATGGTCTATTTGATTCACCTTTGCTTTTATTGTTTATTTTATTTTATTTTCACTTGCTAAATACGGGACAGACTTGACTGGGGAAAAGAAAGGGGAGAAAGAAAGAAGGAAGGAAAAACAGCAGAGAAGAGGGACGGGGATAAAGGGCAAAAAACAAAAACCAACAAAATAAGCAGACAAAAAATACATATATCAATCACCTGGATCACCTGTTGAGAAAGGAAAAAGAGAAAACAAGCAGAAGAAAAAGAGAGCAATAT